GAGTTCTCTCCTCCCCTCGCCCAGCTTTACCTTGTTCCCTTTTTGCTGCGGCCTTTTTCGGCTCCCACGGGGCCAGGGTCTCAGCCTCCCAGCTAATCCAGCTCAGCTCCGACAAGACTGTCTCCTGGATTCTGACCTGAACATTCCGTTGGGTAGGGCTTCTTCACAAGGAAAGACCACCCACCTGTGCAGACGAGGGGCTTCTCAGAGGAGCTTCTCCCCACCCCTAGAACACACACAGGGCGTGTCAGCTAGCATCGGGTTCTCATCCATTGGTGTGACTTTTCACCTCACCCCAAACCAAGGATATCCTTCCAGTCCTGGCTGGGGTGGGGCCATCAGATCTCTCCTTGGTCCTGGAAGAAGGGAGAACCTAACCTGATGGCAGGTTACCTCTTCCTCCCAGAGATCGATGCCCCTCAACTGGACACCCGAGAGACACAGCCAGACCTGAGCCAGGGCCTGGAAGGTTCAGGGGAGCAACAGGGAGAGTTGGCCCTGACCGAGAATGTGATTCAGTCAGAGGGAGTGGAGGTCGAGGCTTTTGGCTGTCAAAAAGACTTTGAGGAGGAGGAGGCCGTGGAGTCGGACCCAGGTGCCCTAGACGAGGACTTGCAGTGCCCCAGGGAAGAAGACACGGTTAAAATGTCGGGCGGTCCCGAGTGCAAGACCTGCCGGTACCTGTTGGTGCGGCACCCCAGGAAGTTTAGAAACGCTCAGGTAAGTGGCAGGGAGGCTACTGCCGAGGGAGGACTGGGGGGAGGAGAGGAGCGTGGACTCAACCTTCTATTCCCTATACATTTAGGCGACTGTTTCTCAAAGCCTAGTGCGCATCGGAATCTCCTAGAGGTCTTATTAAAACCTAGATTTCTGGTTTAGCAAATCTGGGTAGAGAGGGGGTGGCGGTAGCTTAGAGTTTGCATGTGTAAGAAATCACCAGGGGATGATAACGTTATTTGGTCTGGAGACAGCACTTTGAGAATCACTGATGTGGACAAAAGGCTTTTGGTTAAATCCTCTGTTAAATCCTGGTTCCGCCTGTGTTACCTGGGTAAGTCGATTCACCTTCAGAGCTTCAGCATCTTCATTTATAAAATGGAGATATATAGTACCTGCCTCTTAGGGTTGTGGTGAGGATTAAATGAGATAACAACACAGAAAGTATTCGGAATAGTCTCCGGGTCATTGTAAACTCTCAACAAATGGTGGCTATGATTATTCGGAGCATTATTATTGTTTCCTGCAAGAAGTTCCTGATGACAGATAAAGGAGCAAGAGATAGGACTGACAGGGCCAAGTCGATCCCTGATTTCCGGCCTGACGAGGGGTAGGTGAGGGCTCTGCTGGAGACGCAGGGACCTGAGAAAGAACAGTGAATTCTCTACTCCACCTCTTCTTCCCTGCGCAGACAACCTGCAGGAGATGCTACAGAGGCAACCTGGTCTCCATCCACAACTTCAGCATCAACAGTTACATCCAGAGATTGATCAGTTTTCTCAATCAACCCCAGGTCTGGATTGGAGGCTGGGTAAGTGACGGGCCAACTCCCAGGTACAGGGAGAGGTCTCTCCGATGGCCTCGATTGCCTCGAGGGAGCACCTGCTGGTATTAACCTCCCTCCAGCAGTTGCGGGGGGTGATGGAGCTTGGCTCGTGCTGGCTCCGCAGAACGCATGGCTGTGTGCGTCTCTTCCCAACTCCACGTTCAGTGACCTCATGCTGGTAGCGTGCAGTCTACCACCAGCGGATGTATTTACACCAAGGAAATCGGCAGTTGTTACAAATCAGGGTTCCTCCCGCCCTCTGCCTTCTTGCTGTCCCCCAGAGCTGGTTGTTGAACTTTTACCAGCACACCGCTGCAGTCACGAGATAGGTTCTGTGTCCAGCTTGGTCACTTGCCTCGCTGAATGCCTGTGGCTTCCTTGGAGCTTCAGTTTCCTCAGGTACAAAATGGGGTCCTTCTCTCACAGTGGCTCTGGGATTGTGGCTGAATCCAGGCCATTATATTTGCTACTCAAGTGTGGTCCATGGACCAAGCAGTGTCAGCAACACCTGGGAGTTGGTTAGAAATGCACGATCTTGGGCCACGACAGAGATCTCCTGAATCAGAATCTGCATTTAAACAAGATCCCCGGATTCGTGCGCACAGAAAAGTTTGAGAAGCCTATTCTGTGTGATGGCTGGAGTGACGGTTGCTCTTTTCCTGTCATTGCCTGAAAACGCGTGGGGATGGATGGGTCTCAAGGGTATCTGGCTCCAAGCTGGGTGGGCAGTGTCCAGAAAGAAATACTGGGTTGGTTGGCATTCTTTGGTGGCCCTGAATCCGTGTTTCCTGGACCTCTGCCCTCTGACCTGGCCTATCCCTTTTTCAGTTCCAGTGCGGGAGGGCATACTGGACTGATGGGACCTGCTGGAATTTTGGAGTATGGGCCCCAGGACAGCCCCAGAATGGGGGAGGCCATTGTGTGGCCCTATGCACCAGAGGTGAGGGGGCTGCACGGGGAAGTGGGAAGGGGCGGCAATGTAGACTCTCACATACTGCCCTCCTGGGCTGCATGAACACACCTCCCCAAACTCACACCACCCGCCCCCCCAAATGGAGACTCAACGTCCCATCTGCGAGGAGGGCTGAGATGTAGGGTGAGGGTGTGCCCAGTGTGGGGGCTGGGTGGGGGCTCTCTATCCTCACAGACTAGGCTCGGGGCCTGGGGGGCCCCTTCCCTTCCTCTGCTATGAAGAAGTAATTGATGTGACAGGTGAGAGTAACAGATGTGACTGTAAGGTGTGGATGAGGGGCCAGGGAAAGGTGTGGGAAATAGGAATGGCTGACAAAAAAACCTCACCAGCTTGGAACAGCATGGGTGCCAGATGTGGAGGAGCTTAGTGCAGTGGCTAGGACCATATGTGCTGGAGTAAGACTGCCACCATGCGCATCCCAGCTCGGCCACTTGCCAGCTGAGACACAGGCAAGTGGTCACCCTGCCCAGCCTCAGTTTCCTCACCTGGGACTCAGGTGAGATGACAGCACCCCTCTCTGGGAGTCATTGCGAGGATTAACCTCGAGTCCCTACAAAGCGTTTAGCACACTGCCTCGCTGGGGCGAAAAGCTCAGTCACATGAGCAAATGGCGGACAGCCCATGACAACTGGTGACAGGCGGAGAAGATGCACGAGGTGCCTGAGGGGGGGAAGGGGGGGCACAGGCCACACGCAGACCGGTGGCTGACATCACTCTGTTCTCCACTGCTAGCGGGTTACTGGCAACGAATCTCATGCCACAGGCAGCTGCCCTTCGTCTGCTCCTTCTAAGCCAGTGCCACGGACACCCCGCCTTGTCGCCGCTTCCGCCCACCTCCTCCTGGCTGCCCCTGACCCACCCTGGGCGCTGGGCTCCTCTTGCAAGCCCCTTCTGGTCATAAAGACAGACTTCCCACTGCAGTGCTGCCTCTTGTGTCTTCGTTGCTCACTTTGGACGACTCCCCCGGGTTGGAAAGCCCTGGAAGCGCTCACTCCCCGGGGGGCCACGCCCATCTGGGGGCGGAGCACCGACCAGGTGTCCTCCCAGGATGCTTGTTAGTCCTGGTGTGTGTGTGTGTGTGTGTGTGTGTGTGTGTGTGTGTGTGTGTATGTGTGTGTGTTGCTCCTCCCCCTTGGGGGTAAACCTCATTTGGTGGGGCGTGGACACCTGGCCCCCTTGCTTCATTTGGATTCAGTACTGGGGTGTGGGATGGGGTGGGTGTGGGGCCTCTTTCCAAAACGGAGGTGATGTCACTGATTGAAGAATCGGAGCGGAGGGGTGTTAAAAACAAAATCCAACTGAGTCAACTTAAAGGTCAAATTGGCTTTTTCAACAATGCCTGAATCAGGCAATGTCCTTTCCAGCAAACACGGAGGAGCTGTGGAAATGGAGGCTTTTACAGGCAGAGTGGGGCGGGAAAAAAAGTTTCAAGCAAAAGTGGGTTGTTTCAGGTGAGGTCACCTGCCTTTGGTGGATGGAAGGGGTCTATCCAGAGGATTACCTGTTAGCAGGTAACTACAGATTGACTGGTTAAAGGGGATATTCCTGGGAGAGGCCAAAACTACAATGAGGTGAGGTGTTAAGGCTTGGTTTGGGTGGGCTTAGCACAAGCGACTCCATTTGGGGCCTTTGTTTCTTTTCTTTAACAGTAACGAGGTCCCACCCGGGGTCACCGCACACGGGAGGGCAGAGAGTCTCGTCTGGGCACAGCCTGCTCCTCTAAGCCCCGTGTGCTTTTGGCCTCTGGTACTGGCCTTTATTTTCCATTCTTCCAGCCACCTGCGGTTGAGTTCAAAGACCTCAACTTCTTCTGAGTTGTGTCCCTCACTCCATTCCCAGGAAGGTGGCTGTCCCTTCCCAATCCTTCTCCATCTCCCCAATCCCCAGCCTGTCTACCTCCCTGGGTGGGGCTACCTTCTCAAGAGGGAGCGACCTCTCACAAGGACAGCCTCGGGGGCCCAAGCCAGAGCATCTGGGAGCAGTTAGGCTCCCATCCCAGTTCCACAGCCCCCAGCCTCTGCTTCTCTCCTTCACTCCACTTTCTCAGACCCTGGGGACATTGGAAGAGGACACTGTTCCTGCTGTGTTCCAGGTGGGGTGCTGAGGTCCAGGAAGGATCTGGAGATCTGAAGTCTCAGGAAGCTCTACCTGAGACTGGGTATTCAGAGGACAGAGAGCCCTGAGTTGTAGGAGACAGACAGATATACTTCTTGGGGTGCAGTTCCACATGGGGCACGGGGAGAATGTACAAGTATTTCCGTGGGTGCACATGTGCATGTGTGTATATGTATCATGATGTGTATATGAGTCAGTCTGTTCACACATGTATATCTGCATATATGTGACTCTGCGTATGTAAATGTGCACAAATCTGTGTGTCAGTGTATTTGTGTGTTGTTTGAGTGTGTGTACATTATATATATCTCTGAGTATTTATGGATGGGTCTGTATGTCTGTACACCTGTGAATGTGTATGTTGTGTAGCTTTGCATCTTTATACACCTGAATCTCTACGTTCATGCATGTGTGTGAACCTGTGTGTCTTTGGCTAGTATGTTTGGGAGTGTGTATACATACCAGTATGTATCTGAGAACATCTGTGTACGTGTCTACATTCGCGTGTGTACATGTGTGTGTATCTGTATAGGCATCTGATGGGATGTAGAGTTTCAGGAACAAAAAAAAGGACCAGATGTGCTTTGTTTCTAAAGGTACCAGAGCACCCCAGGGGAAGTGGGTGGGGAAGCAGCAGAAGGGATGGGTCTCTTGAACATAAGCAGTCCTCGGTCAACAGGGTAATGGCCTTGGCCTTGCTCGGAGCCTCACCAATGCTGGACCCCAGGGGTTGCGTCTAGGTGAAGAGGGGTCTGTCCATCTGCCTTGGATGGAGATTGGGTCAATAAGTTCCTAATCACAGCATGTCAGTCTTCCCAAGAACATGGAAGAGGAGCTGCCTGGGGGTTGCCCCCCGCCCCCAAATCCTTGCATTGGGTACTGCCACAGCTAATTCTTGGTGGCCTGCTTCTAAAACAACAGTGGGACCTGGCAGTGGGGGGTGCGAAGCATAAGCAGTAAGGGAAGCTCTGCATAGGTTGCTCTGGGACTGGTATTTTGGCTGAATGACAAGCCCCCTTTTATCAGCCTCCACTTATCACCTTGATGGGAAACGGGCTCTATCCAAGCCCAGTAGCCTAATATCCTGCCAGCCAAGACCAGAGGTGGAGAGAGTGAGGGAAGAGGAGCGGGACTCAGACCCCTTCATCTGAAGCTTGCTTGAGGCAGGCCAGGGCAGGTAAGGTGTCCGTCCCTCAAACATCCAGTCTTGCCTGTTATTGGGTCTCAACTTTAACCATTATATAGTCATTCCTTCGGCTATTTCAGGCCTTTTAGTCTTAGCGCTTGATTAAAAAGCAAATACTCAAGAGGAGAAACTCCAGAGTGTGTTATCTATTAATACCTCTGAGAGATTGATTGGTAACTTGCCGAGAACAAGATTTTGTGAGAAGGAACACAGAGGGAAGGCTGCGTGGAGCTGTAGGTGGGCATGGGTGAAGGGCTGTGGAGCAGAACAGCCATCAAAAAGGAGATACCGAAGCAGAGAGCACCATGTTTACTGCTTTCTCTTCCTGGGGATCCAGGAAGGCTCTATTTCCTGGTACTCCTTGAAGTTAGGCTCTGCAGCACGTTACTGAGTCTGGCCTTTGGCAGGTGGTTGGGAGCGAGGTAAGCCATTTTCAGGCCTGGCCTTTAATAACCCTTATGATCCTCCTGCTCTCACAGTGATCTGAGAGTCCACATGCCTCTGACGGCATATCTGCCAGAGGGAAGGGGCCGTCTGCTCTGCTTCGTCATATTAAACCTTGATATTTTGCAGTTTATTTGTTACTCCAGCAAAACCTGGTTTTAGCCTAACTAACACGTAGAGAAAAGAAGGTGCCAACAAATTTTCAAATTTTTTTTCCCAGACAGATGTAGCATGGAAGTCAGGTCCCAAACTCCCGAGACATAAAGCTCTGGTTTCAAGTGCCAGTTTTACCATTTCAGTTTCTTAAACGTGCTCAGCCTCAGTTCCTTCTTGAGATGAGGGTTGAATTAGACAAGGCCAGGGCTGCATTCAGCCCATTGCTTGGACATGGCGCGTCATCACTGAATGTTAGCTTTTATGCTGAGTAATTAAAGAAGCGACAGTGTTCAGAATGAGCATGGGTTCCAGTTCCAATTTCCATGTATTATAAGATTTTTTTTTTTTCTATCAAATAGGATTAATAACAGACCAAAGCAACCGCACCAGGCTTGGTGTGTGATTATGTTGGTGGCAGTGCTGAGCACACCGAGAGACAGCAGAGACAAGTTAGCCGTTGTCATTACTGCTGATATAACCCTACGTCCGGCACACAGAGGCTGTGACTTAGTTCAGCTGTGGGGAGGACAAGTTCACACTCACGAGTCAGATTCACACTCACGAGTTCACACACTTGCTGGCAGGCTCAAGAGCTACTGATGGACCTGCAAGAGGACCACCCTAGTCAGGACGAAAGGGACTGGGGAGGGGCCCCTCCCTCCAGGACACTGGATCTCCTCCTCAGAGAATACTCCCGTGACCTCAGCCTCTCAGCCCAGCCTCCTGAAGGCTGGATTGGGTGGGGGG